GGTGTGTGTTGGTTGGCCGTGTTCACCTAGAATGAGGATTGTTTCCGGCTCCACTCTGTAGCCACTCTACATGTAGTGGTCATACTCGTACTGGGGTGATTCACATCAACTCACTCATCCCAACCTGGAAAAACAGACCTTTTGGTTTAAAAAAAAAAGAGAATGTATGACCGTTTGCTTTAAATAATCTCTTTTTCATCTTCTCTTTTCATCATCTTTCCCTCCAACTTTTACAGCTGATCTGACGACGTTTTTCACCTCAACCGAAGGTGTTTAGACGGGAAATCTGGAAGTCAATCATTTTGTTTTAATCAACATAACGCTGAACCATACGGCAGTACTCTGTTGTGGTACAGACCCCCCCCCCCTTCTTCTCGGTCTCCTGAGGTGGACCGCTGAGAGCAGAACGTGAGGCTGCTCTGATGAAGCAGCTTATTGTGAGCGAGGAGATAAATTGCCTCTGCAGGCAAACTCACGCTGCACGGGAGACGTGCTCGCTAACTTTCTCCTTTTCTTTATTGTTTTTCAAAAGCTCGGCGACACATAAATGATTGGAGTCTGGAGCATATTATCTGAGACATTTTCAAACACAAACAGTTTCACGAGCAAAATGTGCCCCGTTCTTCCTCCTCTTATTAAATTAAGTCACCAGAAAACTCCGGACCAGTTGATCTTCTTTTTGTTTTATTCTCGTCGGCAGCTCATCTCCCAGAACGCCTGTTGGAGGATTGAAATGTTGCTTAAGGTTCCGCTGGGAAAAAGGCGTACAAGTCAGAAATACACCAGAGGCCCATGGGAGTTCTGACACACACACACACACAAACACACACACAAACACACACACACGCACACACACGCACGCTGAGAAACACATGCAGCAACATTAACATCTGCAAAAGACGTTTGGACACTTTGTGACATCAGAAGCTTGCATCCGTCTTAGAGTACAAAACCTGCACGCTGCCACGGCGATGATGATGACGTTGACCAAACTCACCTCAAACTCAAAATAAATGGATTTCTTGCAACGTGAATGCCACACAGAAGTTTGACAGCTAGCTCGATATGAAATCTGTTCAGTTTGGCCCGACTTTCAGCTAAATGCTGGACGGAAAGAAGGTAGAATAGTACGTAAAACAGATAGTAAAGCTGTGGGCAGCCAATCACATTCACACTGATGTGTTTTCTCATTGTCTTTGTCTTTTGCTGTGATGAGTTTGATAATAATTTGCCCTGTGACTCATTCACTGTGAAACAATGTGACTGCTGCCGTGAAACACGTCTACTGAGAACTTGATAGGAAACGACTCGCTATGCACAAAGCCTCATCCAGAGTGTCTCATTCGCAAATTTCCTCACAGCTTAAAGTTATTTTGCCGTCACAAAGCTCCTATTTCTGCTTCGAGGAGCCAGGAGGAATCTCTGAGGGGTCTTAAGCGAGGATGAGTAGTATCCCAGGAAGTAGTGGTATCCTTCATCGTTCATCTGGACTCTGATTGGACCGATCTGATTGTTCTCAACATCACGAGTTTCAGATAATCTTATTTCATTTGATTTGTTTTCTGATTCACCATCTGGTTTATATATATTTATATGTTCATTGTGCGTCTGAACAACAAAAGATTTGTCTTTTCTTGATGTGATCATTTTTCTCAATAACTTTTTTTGCACACAGTTGAAATTGGAAATAGTGGCGACTGTCGGGTTTGATGAGTTATGTCATTTCAATTACCGCAGAACAATTGAGATTTATTCCAGTTTCTTTAAACAAACCTTCATTATATTCTGGGTTAATTCATTTTACTTCACATTTCAAACCATACAAACATAAACAATGAAAGAAATGGTAGAAAAGGACACACAACACGATATCTTTATGCAGGCAAAGAGCTCCTGAGACAGAACACCTGCGCTCTGACTGTGAGGAGTGCTGCTGTTCTATCAGCACACTGATCACTACTGACTGATCCTCCATCATCAGAAACATTTCCTCTCCTCTTCATTGATTCCGCTCTCCTCCCACAAAAGATGCAAGCGAGGGAAACGGATGCAGTCGAGAGACTTGGTGCCTATAATTCAGACATTCAGATATGAACCAGAAGATTTAGTGCAGGACCTCTGGACGAGGCAGCGTTTGAACATTTGGTCCACTTTCAGGGTTGTAGAATTGTTCCCTAGAGGAGCTTCTGTTTATTTCTCCCGTCCTGATATAAACAGAGCTGCTCTTATGATAAACGTTACCGTGACACCCGAGCGACTGTGCAGCACATACTGGGGGGGGAATCAAGACAAGAAGCAGTTAATCCTCATGATGAAAACACCATGTGGAGCCTCGTTGAGTGCCTCATCTGAAAGCACACAACAAGTCCTGAATAGTGTTTAAACTACACATGCCTTCATCCAACGTTGTGAGTACACTGATGTGTTGATTCCATTCATTTGTCTTCGTCTTGCTTCCTCCCACATACACCCCCCTGCAGCGGAATCACTCCACCACACCCCAATTTATTATTATCATTGTACATCGTGATGCCCGTGGCTACGTTTTTTATTTTCTATCTGTGAGCATATGGTGGAGGACTACATCACCTCTCATAACCTCAGTAGATCAGATCATGATGTATGCACACTGGAGAGAGTGTGTGTGTGTGTGTGTGTGTGTGTGTGTGTGTGTGTGTGTGTGTGTGTGAGTGAGTGAGGCATTAAGACTAAGATTAAGATTTTTGATACAATTAAAAAAAAAAGTAAAACCTAATCTTGCAAGGTCAGATTTCCATTAAGATTAAAGAAGTCATTTTAATTGGAAAAGGTATTTTCTTCCCCGTCTTGTTCTTCTTCAGCGCACACACTAGTGACTGCTGAGGATGAGCGTGTCAAAAAAAACGGCAGCTATTTGTTTGCAGCTACTTTACAGCCTCATCCTGATACGCATTACCATATTTAATCCGTTCATATTTGAAACATGAACAAGGGGAGGAAATTGCTATAGAATCGTTAACCACACTGTGTGAGATCAGACGATGGTGATAATGGGTCGTGGAATGAATAAATAAAGTTAAAAGCTTCATTTTTAGACCTACTTCTGATCCAATTAGTATTTTTCATAAACTCATACACACGTGTTTTGCATATTCCTTTTTAATCTGTGCTGTTGTTTACCATTTTCTTCTTGCCGTGATAGTGGAAGGAGAGGGAAAGCATTTAGATTTAATATCTGAACAACAAAACAAGCAATCATACTTTGGGGCAAATGTTTTGGGCTTTCTGCATCTTTACGCCTGCTCTCTGTGACCTCCACCCACTCACCGTCCTTGGTCATTATGCAATAATTGACGGCTCCGTGGATTGTTGCTGCTGTCAAAGTGGCCGCTGCCCTTCCAGTCATGTGTCGCTTCAGCATAATGTAAAACTTCAGGTTGCCATTGTCCTCCATAAATAATTCACTGGGGAGAGTCCGGTCTTCAATCAGATGAGTTGGTGTGGGTGGGGAAAGGTCATGGCTGACAGCAAATCCTTTGAAACATGTTGCATTAGTTGTATTGTAGCATCTTTCTGCAGCACAGTTTTTAACATCATATCTCACTTGTTAACCAACAACTTGTGCTACTGACAAGAATTCTTTTTGATTATATCAATGTTTGGCGTAAACAGGATTTTTTTTTTTGTTGCAGAGTATCCAGAGTTGTGGCTAAATGAAACGGGATCATCTAACAAAGGCGTTTAGATGGATAGTCACATGATGCAAAGAGCGACGACATGAATGTGGACCAGTTGGCAAGCTACCCTGCCACGGTTCGTGGACGTTATGAACCACACGTGGAGAGAACGATTCTCCTCTTGCAACTCACTAATGTTTAGGTTACTAATTGCACCCTAATGGAGATAGATACCTCAGCTACATTAGCTCAGTGCCTCAAACAAATGCATCAAAGACGACACGCAGTGTTGACCCCCGCTTGGACATTTCCCCTCACTTTGTACTGTTACAGACTGGGATTCAAATATACTTTCCCATTCGATCAACACAACATGCATAGTACATTGATCTTGAAAAACGCTTTTTATTGTGACACAAACATAACGAGAACAGAAAAGTGTTGTGTCTGTTTGATGCATGATATTCACACCACGAGTCTTTAGTTGGTAGAAGTCGCTTTCACTGCAATTACAGCCTCGAGACTTGATATGTCTCCACAACCTTTGGACATCTAGATATGGACGTTTTGGTCCATTCTCCTATTCTGGATTCGATGGAGACTGTGAACCACAATTTAAGTTGCTGTAGATCCTCAATTGGATTTAGGTTTGGGCCACTTTAACGCTTTAATATGGTTTGATTTAAACCCTTCCAATGTACCCGTGGCTGTTTGTTTAGCGTCATCGTCCTGCCGGAAGAGTGCAGACTGCATCATATACATTCTTCAAGGATTTGGCTCCATTGGCTTCTCTTTCTGTCTCAAAGACAGTCTTAAATTGAACTTTGAATTTGTCTCAAATGACAATGAGACTTGTCTCATTCGTGGTTTAAATGTCTTGACCTTTTCGACTTCACTTGGATTCTCCTCAAAAACCTAATCTAATCTTTCACCTAATAAAGGGATTATTATATAAAAGAGGCTGTTTGGTGGACGCCTGCTTTGTGATTTAATGCTGATTCGTCCTCTTAGCGCACCGACACAAAGACAACATTATTACTAAATATAAAATGCGCCTTCATTTACTCTTTCTCTGTTCATCAGTGCCATTCCCCAAAGTCATGTCGCAAAGTTATAACACGGGATTCTTCCATTTGGTGCTCATTCCTGAGGTCACAAAGCTTGTTCACGTTCCAATAGGAGGCATTTGTTTTCTAAATTTAGTTTTGCATTTGTCATATTTTTAACACTGGGCCGAGTGCATTCCTGATGACTCAACGTTGTGCACTAAGGATTTGTCACACATATTCAACACGTTTGAAACATCACATCCAATACCATAATACCAACCCCCAATGCCTCAGATACTTTAATCAGATGCTTTATTCAACTTTTCTCATGATCGTAGACTTTACAATTCAGCCGATAGAAGTGACTCCGACAGAGTATTGGACACAGCAAACATTCCCCTCTGTTTTCCGACAGCTTTTGGCACAAAGTACAAGTGATGTTGGGTGTGGATGTGCTCTCCTGCCAAACGGGTCACAGGTCAATGAATCCATAAAGAAGAGAGAGCATCCAAAAATATCAATGAGCAAACAGTTCACTCCATCACACTGGGAGATCATGAATCCCACAAAGACAGAACTGTGCTGGAGGCAACGTTCAGCAGAGATGAGCGTTGCCTAATCCACCGTTTCATCTTCTCTCTGTAGTTACATTTGTGATTCTTCCACAGCGAATTTCTCTCTTTGTTGTCTTTTCTTTTTTTTTTTGGCAATAAGTCCACACAAACGCCTAAATTAAAAGAAATCAATTTGGTAATTATTGTGTCTTTCTATGTTGCGGCTAAAATGGATAATATAAGTGTTTGAGGCAGCGACATCAAAAGAATGTGAGGATTTTTGGTTCGTTAACTGCCTCGAAGAGTCTCTTCTCCTGTGGCGTTCCAACGTCTCCACTCCGCCACGTCGCATGTGTTCCGCTGGCGTCTCTTCATCTCAGTTTCCTTGGTGACGGAGGATGGAAGCCAGAGACACAACATCATCACAGCACATCCAGATTGGGGCCTCGACCCCTTGTCTAGTGTCCACATCTGCCAATCTCCAGAATATGACATATAACGTTATGTCCTGCTTTTTTTGCCAGCTGTTTGAGTTGATGTCATGTTGCGCAACATCTTTGTTTCCATCCTTCAGATGGAGGTTGAACAGCAGGTGAGTCGAGGAGATGTTTGATAAGCTCAGAGGAGAAGAACTGGAAAGTAAAAAGGTTCCACTCCTCCCGTAGGTGGACAGCGTGAACATAAGCCGTCTGCATGATAAAGAGTATATTTAGAATACAATGCGAGTATCATGACATGACATTTCCATGAGAGAGGAATGGATTTGTTTAAAAAAAGATTGATTGTGTTACAAACACATTCTGACAGTCCACTCGGAGATACATATATTTACAGTATATGCATGTTCACATCAAATCTGATATCGCGTACCCGGGTTCCCTGAACAGAAGTCGCTAGTGTCCAATAGCGTAAAGCCCACTGAGGAACTTCAGCACCTGTGGATTTTCACCACATCCTACATTCTTTGAAGCAACTTCTGTCAAGAAATCCATTTTTTGATTTTACGTGTATGTATGTATATAATGTATATGATATTATTTTCCACCAGTCATTGAGATTCAGGGGCCCGGTTCAGCGCTCTGTAAGCCAACAGAAGGATTTGAATCCTCGTGGGGACAAATGGCCGTTGCATTGGTATCAGTGCGTTCAGCCATCACTGTCATCACATCAAGTAGTTTGTGTTTTTTTTGTTTATCCCGTCTGGCTCCTCTTCCAGGTCTATAATAAAGTCATTCTGGTCCAAGTGTAACCCTTTTGCACAAAACACTGACACTCAGAAAGAGAGATGCTTTGGTCACTGAGAGTGAATATGCTGCAGCTTTGGGGGGGATGGGGGGGGGGAAGTATAACTCCACCCAGGTCACCCACTTGCTCTCACTACACAATCCCCTCGCTGCGTTTGCTCCTCCACACCACCAGGCCCGTCATGAGGAGCGTGACCAGGATGGGGACTACGATGAAGGGACCCAGGATGCGATTGGGTGGGTCCTTCAGAAGCCGCCCTGACAGCGAGCAGTCTTGGAAGTAGTGCTTGTGGACGCGGATGAAGAAGTCATCCACCAGCTTGTTGGGCCAGAAGCAACCCAACTTGAACGCCACCAGGTTTGTGCAGTTTGTCAGCCGGCCATACAGTCTGCATGATGGTGACACAACAGAATGAGAAAAAAACGTTAGTCAGTGAAGACGGTGCACAAAAGTAATTGTTTTACATTTACATTTAACATCACATGAGAAAGGCGATGACCACTAACCCGTGTATAAGGTCGACTATCCTAGTTGGAGTTCATGTTGGTTGGGTTGCTGGATCATGCAGCTTATGTTACGTCTCGAGCATGAAAGCAATGCTACTGTTGGTTTCTACTTTAGAGAGTAAACTATTAACCAATATTAACATTTCCTGCTTACGACAGATCAAACGAACACGCTGTCTGCTGCATTCAATATGCTTTCACTCATAGTTTTGAGTTTCCGATAGAATGAACAAATACAATATCTCTACTGCTGCAGAGCCGTTCACACCACTTGGGCTTGTGGAGGAAGTCGATGCTTTGCAGAACTGCCGCGCTTACGGTTGGGAGGGATTAAGTGAACGGTCGATAACAACGTTTACAGTGAAAACAACTCATTTTATCTGTTGACAAAATTCCAATGAAGCTGTGATTTTAAAAATAACCTTTTTAAGCCCTACTGACTAATCTTTAAAATGCATCGTGATTAAACCGATGCGTTATCCTTTTTCCGTTCTTAACGGCTTCACCTTGTATAATAATATGATAATGTGTTGCATGAATCCTGTGCAGAATTATGGAGGACAAACCCATTACCAGATTGTCCAGGTGGCTCAGAGGCAAAACACTTGTCCTTCACCGTTAGAGACACATAGTGAAACAAATCGAGTGGAGAGGTCTTACTCAGAGTCTATTGTTTATACCTAGTGCATGTGCATGTGTGTTTGTGTGTGTGTGTGTTTCTTCTCCATGATGAGATGGTAACCGAGCTAATGACCCATGATTATGACATACGGAGCACACGGAGGATTCTGGGAATGCGCACTTCAAGGTCACAACACACGCGGGCCTGTAAGGTTCAGCCAGCAAATCAAACTCACAGCGACCACACACACACTTTCCCCATGACACCTATCTGACTGAGGTCCGTTAGTGCCGTTGCCTTGCAGCTCATTGTGAGTGCAGCTCGCTAAGAGCTAATGGAAACTGTAATTGTGCTTTTTAAGCTTTAAACTGATCCAGCTGCTAATGAGCTGACATCAGTCCCAAAATGTAGATCCAAAAAAGTGTTAAACCGCAATTTATTTGTGCCACAGATGTAACCTCAAACATTTTAATGCGTAAATTTACTGATCTATTAAAGTTGCATTGATTTAATACTGGGGCCCAAAAAAACGCTCTGTTTTGGTCTCCATCTCTTCTTGAGGGAAAACGTCAAGTCAAACGTAGTCCCAAACCTTCATTTCCAGCCACTTGGCTCCAGGCCGGTACCATGCAGCGGCGACAGGGGTATAGAGTGCAGTGAGAAGGAATCCAAACTGTAATGTTGCAGATCATCAAACTAAAAATATTCTAAAAAACAACATTAGCCTGCAGGGGAGCTGCAGATGGTCATAGCTCTGCAACTGAGGGTATCGACTAGTGTTACTAATGCAATGCCACTAATGAAAATCCAAAAGTTGTCCCTAAATAGTCACATTTTTGTTTATTTCGTTTAGTAATGTAACACATAAGAGTATTTATTTGTAGCAACTCTACTCACTCACAGTATTACCACAGATGATCCGGCTTTAATTGTATCCAATAAGGATCGTAAGTGTCCGCGGTGTTGGTACTGAGATGTTCAGTTGCCAAAATGAATTAAAATGCTCCTATTTGAAAATCAAGAACTTGGAAAATGGAAATCTCTTTTTTCCAAATGGGAGCGATTTGAAACTAGAGTTTGAGACCATACACTCATGTTCTCAATGTTTACTGAAATAATACACTGCCAGTCAAAAGTTTGGACACATTTTCTCGTGTTTCCAAGAATGTTTCCAAACTTATACTTGTACTGTAAATAAAGTGAGAAGTGGAACATTGTGCTCGTAGGCTTCTATCCAACCAGACTGCTTTTTGCATACAGAAGAGTTGCCTCCTCCAGGCCAGTAGACACAATGCAAATTCAAGACATTTCCACATTGCTTTCACTTTTCTGAACCGCAGGTCGCCGCCTGGCTTTCAGTTAGAATCTGGAAGATCTCCGTCTCGGTTTATTTGGTGCGATATTCCAGTATATTCTAAAGATGTTGGTACATTGAGAGCCAGATACCTTCGTCCATGTCAGCATTTGTGTTAAACTAGTCGGCTGTGAGCACCGACGCATCGACCTGACTTCGCCTTCATGAGCGGATTTGCCATCTTAGTTCAAACCTCGGGACGGCGAAGAGAAGGTTTACACGGATTGGCTCATTTCTTCCACACAACATTTCTGTTTAAAGGACACAGCGGTCTCGAGCGTCAGAAGGAGGCACGAGGAGCAGAGAGGACATGTATATATATAGATGTATTTATATCTATAGATATATGTATCTACTGTACATCTCTATATACAAAAATGCATTTGTAGCATTATTGTATAGTTGTTACATAATTGTACTGTAAAAAACTGTTTTTTGACTTTTAATGTTGTCTTTTTATATTTCTTGTTTATTTCTATAAAGAAACTATCTACAGTATGTGGAGAGTAAAGGAAAAACCGGGGCCAAATTCCATGTATGGTAAACATTTATGGCCAATCAAGCTGAAATGAATAATATAAACTAAATCCTGGCATTTCGCAATTGTTTTGGTCACATGACAAATAAGTCGTGTGTCAAGTTACCGTTGACCACCGTCTTTTTCTAGTTTAACTAAGTGGTTCCGTTGCCTAAACCTAAAGTTTATCGTGAAACAACACAATGTGGGAAACAAGAGTAAACTGACGAGCCGCCTGTGCAGCGGGTTCAGCAGAGCGCCACAGCGACAGACGCATCCGGGGGAGAATGTGTTGTTTCTAGCGGTGTGGTTCAGAACTCTTCTGATGCTGCAGGTTGGTCCAGTTCATCACTTCCACAGCAGCGTCGTCAGGCTGCACGCATGGTAAAGACGGCCTGCGTGTTGGAGATGGCGTACACCGTATATAAGGGGTTTAAAAAAGAAATGTTCAAGCGTTGGAGCCTGTGGAAGGATCACCGACAGCATACGGACAGAATGAATCCCCAGAGGGAATCGTCAGGTTGGTGACCCAAAGTGGAAGAAACACTCATTCACTTCATAATCAGCTCATAATGTATCAGCAGGGAGACAGAAATAGATGCTGCTTGATGTATGCAGAGTGAGAGTCAAGCAGCCTAATTGATCTAATTGTCTATGAAAGGATTCCATTAGAAGAAGATGAAGCACAGAGGAGCTGAATCAGGCAGCCATAGTTTAAATCAGTAGTCCATAGTGTGTGTGAATAAATATGAATGAATAAAAGCAACAGCAAGAGCAAAGCTGCTCTATTGACTTGAGAAATGAGTGGATGAAAGAAACTTCAGATTTATTAAATGAGTTTCTGGGGATTTTTTTCTTCAAATTCTTTGTTTCTTTATCAGCCAAATGTGTGAGGTGGACAGGAGCCAAAGTCACAAGGAAGTCGTAGGGAAGTTTTAACATTACTGACAAAACTTTGTCCCAGCATTAAATCTGGAGCTTAAGTGGAGCGATAACTCCTGCAGAGAGCGCTCGCTCAGTTAGAAATAAGCAGACTGCTTTTACGTTCTGTTCTATCCTCTACCGACTTGGCAAACGTAAACGTCGTGTAGTTATTGCCCTTCTGACAACCTCTGAGTGACACTATATTTAGAAGCCGTGCATCTTTAGCCGCGTTAGGCTCTGAGTGGCAAACATCTCTGGGGTGACGCTGTGCCGCTCAGGGCAAGCGGGACGAAAAAAATTGAAGGCAAAATACATTTGCCTGGTAAAAAAGTGCACAAGGCTGCAAATACGTGCAAGCTGATTCCTAGTGGATTACTCACTTCACAACACGCCTCCAGTTTACTGCTGATGTTGAGCATAAATACCGGTAAACTTTTCCGTCAGGTGGAAGTAAGTCCTCTGTGGTAACTTGACTGATTCCAATCCGGCACAAACGTTTTCAGCATTTGCGAAAGAAAATTGAACCTGGAAGTTTCGGGGGATGTGAATTCAGTTCTTTCTTAAAATATTTAGTTTCGTTCTTCACTATTTGTTGAGGTCTTCAGTTGCAGATTTTATATTTCTAGATTAAAATCTTATTTTCTATTTATTTTTTGTCCTACTTTCAGACGCTGGTAAAAAAAGACGGTTGTCATATTACGCAAAGATGCGTTTCTACGGCGACTCTGAATCGTCATGGAAACGCACCTTATTCTCAGTCGTTCCGTTGGGTCAGAAAAGCCCCCCGTTCATCACTTGCATTTACAGTTGAGAAAGTTTCTGTCTGGGCAAAATCACCTTGGAGCAGAGAAAAAAGAAAACATGCAAACTGTCACTACTGAGCTCAGGCAAAATGTTCTTTTTTTACAACTTTGTTATTCTTCAAACCCCCTGGTCCTCTTATCTTTCGGGGAGGGGGGGATGGAACATCTGAACGTGCGGGCTACACTTTCCCCTACATAAGAGAAAAAGTGCTCCAAATATTTTTGTTTGAAAAAAATGTTCCCCCCAAAATACACACACAGATGAGCTTGTGTGAATAACTGTATTCACACAAGTACTGTTTATATTTGTGTGTGTGCGTGTGGATGTTTGTCCTTTCTGTATCCCCGATAGCCCAGGACCTTTGACTGTTTCTGACTCTGTTAGTTTGTGACCCGCTGCAGCTGCCGTCCAAAACACACAGAGAATTTCAAGCTGTCAAACAACAAGTCGAGCAGGGTGACGTCTGTCTGCATCGGCTACAACCGACACCAACTTTTCATTTATCCTGATTACAGTCTAAATCTTTGCCCCGGACTCTGGTTTCATGCCACAGGCTCTTGGTTTAAACAATCGCTCCGTTTCTTGCTTTTCCTAGAGCGTTTTTTTCTTTATTCGTTTGTGATTGTTGGAGGGAGTTTTGGTCAGTCGGTGAGTCATGCCT